CCATTCATTCATCCATCAATTTGATCCAACATCCATCCATCCATCCATCCATCTATCCAACCAACCATGAATCCATCTGTCCAAGCATCCATCATCCATCCATCCATCCATCCATCCATCCATCATCCATCAATCCAACCATCCATCCATCCATCCATCCATCCATCCATCCAAGCATCCATCATTCATCCATATATCCATCCATCCAAGCATCCATCTTTCATCCATATATCCATTCATCCAACCATCCATCAATCAATCTAACCATCCATCCATCCATCCATCCACCTTCCTCTTCCTCCCAGCCACCTCTTCCATTTCTGCTGAGAGGACTCCAAGACGTTCCCAGACTAGCTTAGAGACATAATAGTCTCTGCAGCGTGTCCTGGATCTTCTCTGGGGTCTTCCATCATTTGGACAGATCCAGAACACCTCCCTAGAGAGGCGTCCAGGGTCCATCATTACTAGATGTCTGATCCACCTCTACTGGCTCCTCTGGAAGTGGAGGAGCAGCTGTTCTACTCCAAGTCTCTCCTGGAGAACCAAACTTCTCACCCTGCAGAAAAAACTCATTTCGGCCACTTTTATCCAGAGTCTCATTATTTCAGTCACTCCCCAGAGTTCATGACCAGAGGTGAGGGTAGGGGCGTAGACCAACCAGTAAACAGAGCTTCCCCTTGCAGCTCAGCTCCCTCTTCACCACAACAGACCGCCACAAAGTCCACAATACTGCAGAAGCTGCACTGATCATTCTTTTAAGCTCATGCTTTATTCTTTCCTCACTCCTGAAAACCCCCTGAAATATTTGAACTCCTCCGCTTGAGACAGAACCTCACTCCCAACTCTGTGACAAGTCAAAAAGTGTTCATGGGAGAAGACGAGCTTCATGAGACCATGACAACACCACGTAGCCGTCCAGCTACAGTTCTTTAATTTATCCCCGAGTGTTTTGTGATTTACAAAAAAAAACAAAAAAAAAAACGTTTTTACTGATTGTCTAAATCTTCTCCAGCCAGCAGGAAATCAAAGCAGCAAACTTTGAGTTGTGGGCTCTGTTCATTTGTCCCAGAGGCGTCCATCTGCTGCTGTGTCCATCTGCTGCTGTGTCCATCTGCTGCTGCGTCCCTCGCTCCGTTCAAAGAGATAACTTTCCCAAAAGGGAGAACGTTAAAGTTAAAGTGTATGCAAAGCGGAACTAGAACAAATCGACTTGAACTCTGCTCGTGCTTCTTATGCGCTGCAGCACGAGGCCCTCCCTGCCCAGACACAAACTGCTTCCAGAGATAACTCCTCTCTTCGCCTCGTCCAGGAGCAGCGGCTGCTTCTGCTTCGGCTGAAAGTGGGTCGAGTCTGGGCAGGAAGGATGAGCTGGCAGAGCGTGAGAGTCGGGTTAGCAGCCATTTATCCTCCGGGGTGAGTCAGCAGACGGAGAACCTCTGGAACCACTCACAAGTTTGAAGTTAAGGAATAACTAGAGAAATTGAATTTCCTGTGAATTTGCTGAAAAACAGCTTAAAAAAAAAAAAAACATTCTGAAATGTAGATGAAATGGAGGATCAAGCCTAAATTAGCAGCAGAAAGAAGAAAGAACACATATTTTCTGTATTAGGGTTAAATAATCAGACAGGAGCACAAACATTAAGAAATTAGATTTAAAAAAGCTGAAATTACCAAAAAATAAAATAGCTGAAAAGTAGCTGAAAATGCAAAAAGAAGCTTAAACTATCACAAGGAAGTGGAAGGAGCTGAAATGAGCTATAAAAAAAAGTGGAATTAGCTGAAAAAGCTAAAATGAGTATCAAAACAGCTAAATAGGCGCTGAAAGAGCAGAAAAAGTTTAAACTAACAGAAAAAACTGGAAGGAGTATAACAAGCTGAAATAAGTATAAAGAAGTTAATTAGGCTAAAAGTAACAAAAATTACCATGAAAATCTTAAATTTATCTGAAAACAGCTGAAATTAGCTAAGATAAGCTAAAAAGGTAGAACAAGTTTAAATTAGCTGAAGAAAGCAGAAATAACACATTTGCCCAATTAAACTGAAAGAAGCAGAAATAAGCACAAAAAAATCAGAAAAAAATTAAATTATCAGAATGAAGTGGAGAGAGCACATTTTTGCTGAATTAGGCTGAAAAAAGTTTATATGAGTGCAAAAAATGTGAAATTAGCTGAAAAATCTAAAATTAGCATAAACAGCTAAATAGTAGCTGAAACAGCAGAAAAAGCTGAAATTTGCATTAATAAGCTGAAAGGAGCATAAGAAGCTTAAATTAGCAGAAAGAAGTTATAGGAAGCATAAAAATGTTGATTGAAAGGAGCACAAAACATCCAAAAAACAGCTGAAAGCTGAAAAAAGTTTATATTTGCAGAACAAAGCTGAAAGAAGCTGAAGCAGAACAAAATGTGAAAGGAGCAGTAAAATGTTGTCAACGGATCTGAAGATATGAAGGAGGCAAAATTAGCTCAATTCATTCTCTATGAGAAGAAAATGTCAGAAAAGGCTAAAGATTTCAAAAAGCTAAAGTTGCACAAATACCAAAAGTCATAACACCCTTCTGCTGAATGAGCTGAACGTTTTGATATGAGATTTGTTGAAATAGCACAAAAATTAAGGAACAAGAAAGATGTCGGTAATAGTACGGAAGAACAGTGGATCACAATAGTGTGAATGCTTCAGGAACATTCTCACAGTTAAATGGTGCGTTCGCTGCCAGAAATCTCCATTTCTGGGTTTGTATCCTGTAAATAGAACTACAAAATGTTTTTATTTGACACTGTGTGGGACTTTATTGTGTTTAGGTAATAAAATCAAGTGGAAAATAAATAAATAAATAAATGTATCACCCACTGTCAGAAGACAAAAGCAAAGTGATGATTTCAGACAAACTTTATTGTGCCTGTGTCCGTGTGTTTGCTTGTTAGCAAAATATCTCAAATACTCATGCAGAAAGTAATCAGTGTTTTTTACACTCCATTTTATGTATTGTATTGTTTTTATTCCATGGTTTTAATTTACTTGTGTTATGACTGAACTGTGAGAGCCACATTTTAATGTTTAACTGCTGTGTTTTAACGAGCTTTACAAATAAAGTTGGATTGAATGTCAAGGTTTGACCAAAGTGTCTCTGTCATTTCTCAAGGTAAGATGATTTTAGTCTAAAACTCTGGCATGAAGCTGATGGGTGATATGCATTCCTTTAATCCATCCATCCATCCATCCATCATCTTTACCTGCTTCTTCCTTTTCAGGTTGCATGGAGTCACTTGTGTCCATGTCCAGCCATCACTGTGCGAAAGGCGGGGACACCCTGGACATATCTCTAGTCCATCACAGAGAGAGACAAGTGAGACACCTAGGGACAATTTAGAGTTACCAATCAGTCGAACATGCATGTTTTTGGTCTGCGGGAGGAAACCGGAGTACTCAGAGAAAACCCACACATGCACGGAGAGAACATGCAAACTCCACCCAGAACGGCCGCCGTCCGGGATTTGAACCAGCGACCTTCTTGCTGAGAGGCGGCAGCTCTACCGACTGCACCACGGTGCCGCCCCCATTCAAGAAATGATCATTTAAAATGATGTAATCTGATATTTATGTTTCTGCCAGTGAGAGAAGCTTTTGTTTGATGTTTTGTTTAGACGTTTTTCATTTGCGACAACAACAAAAACATTATTCAACTTTTTAACGTTACAGAACCCAAACGTCTAAAACGTAATGTCTGTGTGCAAACCAGATGAGCTGTACTCACGGTGTAGGGGCAGGGAAGCCGATTTGGGTTCGATCCCTGGTCATTGCACACCTCCTGGTGTCTCTGAGCAGGACGCCTCATCCCCAGTTGCTCCCTGGATGCGTTCAATAGCTGCCCACTGCGCCACCTGGTGGTGGATGAGTTAAATGCAGAGAGACAGTTTCACCATCGTATGGGAACATACAATGATGACAATACACATTATATTATTATTATCACTGAAAACTATACAATCAAACTTCAAAGAGTAATCACAGACGGTGCTGTCGCTAGTTTTTCAGACATATTTATCGAAAATTCTGAAATGGGGGTCTGCGCTCGATGTAAACAAAGCTGAGTCCACTGAAAACCTGGTGGAAGCTTGAGTCACGTGACTGACCGACATCAGGCTGACTGTAGTCTGTAACCGTAAGCTTAATGTAGTAACTTCGGCTGTTTCTGTAGGTCAGGGGTCGGCAGCCTGCACGGAGCCACATGCGGCTTTTTGCACACTTTAAACGCTTTATCGCTTCAAAGTGGGATAAATAACTGTTTTTTCCACAACATGAAAGTGCACTCAACGGCCTGTACAATTCAAAGTTTTGATTATTTTCGTAAAATTAGTTTGAACTTTGATTCTATTTTTTTTTTATTACTGGGCATATTTGAGTTTTATAATGTCCCCACTGTCCAGGGAAGTCCCCTTCTGACAAACTCAAAGGCGCCCATGGGCCACCAGTTGATAATCACAGCAGGTTTCTGGGCTCAGGACACGTTTTATTTAGTGAGCGAAGTGGCAGAACTGGCTCTTTTGATTTAAAAGTTTGCAGTAAGTAAACAAATGCAAATCACGCTTACAAATTTACCTTTTAGTACAAGAAAAATACTGTATGGGTTTTGTTTGTTTTGTAGTTTTTACAACTTTACCATTTGTACATCTACCTAACCTGATTTTTCGACCTCTGTTTTTATTCCAACACATGGCACCTGCAGGGCTCCGTACTTTCAATCATTAAATTCAGCTTTTGTTCCCCCCACCCCTCCTATAATTAATTCTATGTATTAAAGAGTAATTTATGAGAGCCTGTCTGTGCAGGATCCCTGCAGGTTTCTGGACTCTGTCCTCAGACGCGCTCACAGGAGACCATTGGGGGCGCATTTCAGAGGGAGGACCTTTGGGAGAATTTCCAGTCCCGTGATTTGCTAATCGGGGTTTGGTTCCCTTGTCATTCCCTGTAATCGTGGCTCGGGTCTGTGGAGCTCAGCCAGCACCTCCTGTCCGCGCAGAGAGCGCACTTGTGCGGAGCAAAGGCTGGCCGCTGGGAAGGAGGATCTCTTTGTCCACCTATGGCTCTTTGACTTTTAGGACTTTTTTTTTTTTTTCCTTCTTAATTCTGGACCGTGGACGGGTCGTGTATAAATAAAAACGAAAATCACCTGAAGTCGCCCAGAAGTTGTGTTCACTGGTGGGCGCCTGACGATGGAGATGCAAAGGTGGTCCACACGGTGGAAAACGAAAAGATGCTTTCTGGATTCCGCGTTTTTCTTCACTTTGACTCTGGTCCTGCAGACTGCTGAGGTCCGAGCAGGTAAGGAGCTCTCTGATGGGGGGGTGGGACTCACCTGGACTCAGAGTTCTGTTCGCATCTCTTCCCACAAAACACGTAGATTTCTCTTATGATGAATTTCTGAGCTCGGGGCTGATAGAGGAAAGTTTACCGTTACCTTTGAACTGTTTAAAAGAAGCCACAGAGTCATGATTAAATAATAGATTTTATTGATATGAACATAATGTGCCCTGAGGATGAACATCTAGTCCCTAAACTCTCTCAAAATAAGTCAGATTTATGATTTGAATAGTATACAAACTTTATTTTGCTATCTGGATGACAGACAGGATGAACCACTAAACTCTCTTAAACATGTCAAAGATGAATGATTTCAGGTGTAAATAGGCTGAATATTGTTGTCCAGGTCACCCGTGGCATTAATAGTCAATGTTTGCACCTGAGGATGAACCACTTGTACCTAAACCTTTTTAAAGAAGTCACAAGGTTCTGTTTTGTAGGTTGTTAAACTTGCAACTTTGGTTGTCTAAATCAATGGTTCCCAACTGTGGTCCCTGAGGAACACCATCCTGCATGTTTCATTTTTTTTATCCGCTCCAACATGCCTGATTCGGTGATTTAATTGCTTCCTCAAGTTCTGCAGAAGCCTGTTAATCAAACATTCATTCAAATCAGGTGCATCAAAGCGGGGAAACAAGTAAAACATGCAGGACGGTGTTCCTCAGGGACTAGGGTTGGGAATGACTTGTAATCTTTATAGCATAGCCTTTAGGATGAACGGACTGTGTCTGCCCCTTAGGATGAACCCCTTTCCCACTAAGCACGTTCAAATAAGTCATAGAGTCATACTTTAAGTATATATAGATCGGATATTGAAGTCCATGGTCATCGTAGCGCAGGCTAATATGACTAGACAACCGCTGCCCTTGAGGATGAACTGCCTTGTCCATTAAACACTTGTATAGAAGTGATAGGATTATGTCATGGAGGTTATTTAAGCCAGATTTTGTTATATAAATTACCTGTGGTGATCACAGTACAGTCTACAGCATTAATGGTCTGCCTCTGAGGATGGACCACACTGCGTAGTTCAACTGATCCAGTAGGAAGACCAAGGAACAGAGCAGCAGTTTCAGGATTCCCTTTAGACTCAAAGGATCCTTTTTGTTTGAGTCGTGGTCCGCTGGGTGGATGTGAACACGGTTAGCAGGGTAGATTATTCAGGACAGCCTGGACTTTGAGAACATGTTGCATTCAACCCCCACAACGAGTCAACAGGTAATCTGATGTCTCCCATCACGCAGGGAGAGGTGGAATTTCAGCTTCTTGTTGACTTGGTTGTCCGTGTAGCGATGTCTCTCCATGAACGACTTCGGGGGATGTATTTCCTTCATCCCAAGAGGAAAAACGGCTCAGCGGGGTTAATTTAGGGGTATGGTGCACCCGATCATTTTTGCAGACGAGGTGGCAATTTGTTGGCGGACAGCATGGAGGTGTATAGCAAGTGGCACCAACCCTGATGGAGGACAGTTTAAGATGCGATGGAATACTCACTGTTAAACAAAAGTTTCAAGTAGTTTTCATTTGATGTCGATGTTCCAGTGAACAGTTCGGCCCAATTAACCAGTTATTCAACATTTTTCTTCTGGGAGCCACTAGGGGGATCCTGAGTACCACCAGAGGTATGACAGTTTGAGAGCTGGGTAGGGTTAAAAGTGGTCAGACAGGTTCACCCTATCTCCATACTGTCCTGGTCCACACCAAAGCCCAATAGTGGGCTTGTGCCCCCCCTCCTCCCCCAGCTTCCATTTTTGTTACAGGCTGCAGGACGAGGTTGAGCCATGTGATTGGTGGGAATGCTTCCCCCGTTAAGTACTGAGCAGTTATTTGATGATGGTCCTTGTCGCTCTTCCCTATGATTTCAGAGCCTTCAAAGCGCCGGACTGCGTTTGGGTCCCGGCTCACGGCTTTAATAGCTACCCATCTCAGGGGCCGGGATTACCGAGGCCTCACACATCGGCCTGTAGACGGCTCGCGAAGGATTTGTTGTCGCATGCAGACACAGGGAAGGAGTTTTATAGGGTCGTGGGTAAAACACCATTTTAAGATCGGGTTGATCGAGCCACAACGTTAGCTTCAAGTTTTACATCGTGCTGGTTCCTGAAAGTGCACGTCGGAGTTATAAACCCCTCGCGGCTCTCTGCCTCTTAATATAAACTTGTATGGGCTCCGTGTTTAATCATCTCAGCCGGTTCCTCCTGAGCTCTTTATAGCCGTCAGGGCTGTTTCTGCAGGGTGCCCTCTGCAGCGAGCGGCTGCACGGACACGTTTTCTCAGCCCCTGGGGCGCAGGCTCAGATGTGCATTCCAGCAGACAAAGCTAGCACTTCAGAGTCCTCTGCCTTGATGTGCTAAACCTGGAAAATCAGCCTCATCGTCAAGCTTTGCCTCGTCTGTAGAGAGGCTCGCATTTTGAATTGATGAGCCCAGCTGTCTGCAAGAGACCCCTGCTTTTATTCCACGGCCTGTTCGGAGGCTGAAACGTTGCGTCGCAGCACACGAGGTCTCATTTTTCACATAGACGCACGCCTGAAATGAGTTAATGTGAGGAAAAGCTGAGCAGGGGGGAGCAGAGGAAAGGAATGCTTTGAAAAGCTGGGTAGGTCTCCGTGAAGTTTCCTCGGTATGACACCAGCATAAAGCCGTCTTGTTTTAGCCGGCAGCGTGGTGGAAGTTAAAGGAAGCGGAGAGGGAGAGTTGGGGGGTGGGGTGGGGGTGGGGGGTTAGATACTAGAGAGAGACTTTGAGTCCCAGGGAGCTGCAGGTGGAAAGGTTCCTCCTCTGTTTACCTGCAAATTTACCCTCCTGTGAAGATGTTGGTGATGATAGGATAAGAGATGAGCTCAGACAAAACATTTAGCGTTGAACACCTTTAAATACGACAGCGGGATCCTGTAAATATTAATGTAATATCACCAGCGAGCCAAGCCTTTGTTTTAGTTATACAGAACGCCATGCGAACGTCAAAACCTCGTCCTGTCATTTATTATGCGTTAGCGATGAGTTTCTGCTTTATGTGAAAGTTTAAAGCAAGTTCGGTTCCAGTGGCCACATTGTGCTTTTTAAAGCAAAGGGCCACAGCAGCGCGTTTTATAACTTTTCAGATGGTTAATCTGGAAAACATTCCCAGGATTTTCTTTAATTTCCTACTTGGAGAAGTTGTAGAACAGCCAGCGAGATTCATCACAAATATTCGTCCTCGATACCAATTAGAAGAATAACGCATCATTCCTATAAAGTGGCTCCTGTGACAAATTATTGGTTAGCTTAAAATACGCGTAAAATGTTACACGTTTGCTTTTTAGAGTCAGGAAACACAAACGATGATTCACAAGGCGAAAGAAAAGTCCTGGCCTTTCTTAGTCCAAACGATTTCCATTTAGATGCTTAATAAGTTTAATAATGCGAATATTTGTAAAGCATTCCATTTGTTCTGTATGTTTTTCAGCATCTTTCTCGTTCCACAATTTTTGTGCTATTTCAACAAATCATAAATCAGCTGGTTCAGCAGAAGGGTGCTATGAATTTTGGTATTGGTGCAGCTTTAGCTTTTTTAAACATTTAGCCTTTTCTGTCATTTTTTTTCCACATGGAAAATGAATTGAGCTCATTTTCCATCCTTGAGATCTTTAGATGTGTTTACAACCTTTCACTGCTCCTTTCACACTTTGTTCAGCTTCTTTCAGCTTCCTTCTGCAAATTTAAACTTGTTTTCAGCTACTTTCAGCTGTTTTTTTTTCAGCTGTTTGTGATCCTTTTAAATTCTTTCTGCTAACTACAACTTTTTTTTTTGCTATTCTAACTTTTTCTGCTCCTTTCAGCCTATTCATGCAAGTTTCAGCTTTTTCTGATATTTCAGCTACTATTTAGCTGTTTTATGCTAATCTAAGCTTTTTTATATATAATTCCACATCTTTTGCACTCTTTTAAACTGTTTTTAACTTAATTCAGCAAAAATGTGCTCTCTCCATTTTCATCTGGTAATTTAAGATTATTTCTGCCTTTTTAAGCTGCTTTTCAGCTTTTTTTGTTGCTAATTTCAGCGTTTTTCAGATAAATTCCTCTTTTTTTTCTCTCATTTCTGCTTCTTTTAGCCTAATTGAGCAAATATGTGATTTCTGTTTTTTTATGCTAATTTAAGCGTGTTCCACTTTTTCAGCTAGATTTTTAACAGTTTTGGCTGATTTCAGCTGTTTTCAGATAAATTCAAGTTTTTTGTGGTAATTTTTGCTACTTTCAGCCTAATTAACTTCTTTATGCTAATTTCAACTTCTTATGCTAGTTTCAGCTTTTTCTGCGCTTTCAGCTACTATTTAGTTTTTTATGCTAATTTTAGCTTTTTCAGCTAATTCTATTATTTTTTTTTAGCTCATTTCAGCTCTGTCGGCTTCCTTCTGGTAGTTCAAGCTTCTTTCTGCCTTTTCAGCTACTTTTCAGCTATTTTTTGCTCATTTAAATTTTTTTTTGTTAATTTCCTAGTTTTTGTGCTAATTTCTGCTGATTTAACCCTAATTCAGCAAATATGCGTTCTTTCTGCTTTATTCTGCTAATTTAGGCTTGTTCTTCTATTTCAGCTACATTTTAGCATTTAGCTAATTCCAGCTGCGTCTCTGCAAGTTCTTCAGCAATAAGCATTCGCACTGCATTTTTGCAGGAAATACAATGTCTCTTCAGACATGAAGTTTCATAAATAAAACAATTTCATAAACTTTAAAGTTTAATCTTTTCTCTCAAATGTAATAGCCATGTGGAAAATTTCCAAGGGCCGCTTTTGGCCCTTAAATTGCATGCAGTTTTTTTAAGGAGCCCCTCAGGTGCCAGGCGTAAAAGTAAATGTAGTGGTCACTGAAAATGTGCTTTAGATAACTGTACGCACAGATTAGCCGTCACTCTGGTGTCTGTCTGCAGCCATGATGGACGGTGAAGTTAGAGTCAGGCTAGACGACAGGTAAAGTGCATCAA